AACTACACTAGGGGGTGTCCAAGTGTAACTATTTCAATAATAAAACCACAGCTCCAAATGAAAGAGTTAAGATAGTACAAAAACCGCGGGTAAACTCAGTTTAAATGTTTTGGATGCTCTTTTGCTGTATGTCATGGCTAATCTGCAATTTTAACACCGATCCTCAGGCAGAAGGGTCACAATTTATAGACTACATTTCTTCCATCTCCTATTCTTTGCCTGCAGAACCTGCTAGGGTGGCACAGATAACATTCCAAACCATGAATAACCACTAAAAATCTTAGTCTGACCTTTATCTTTGCAAATCTGTGGATGTCACAATGCGCAATGCCACCAAATCCTGATTTCCATCTACTAGGTCTTACTTGTTTCTGGATTACAACTCCGCGTCCCCTGCTCATTGTTCTTCCTGGCTCACAATTTCTATTTTGCAGGCCCATCCGCACAGTTTTCATCCTATCATTTCCAAATTAGATATATTTGCCCTTGCATCCCCTAGTTCCCAACTCAATCAGATCCCTGGCTTCCATTTCCCAATTTGCAAGTACATTTTCCCCTCACTATTTCCAGTCCCAATTCTCTGTTTTTATGTCTATTTTGTTGTGTTTGTGTCTCCCAGGCTTCTAGTTCTCTAGTCCCTGGTGTGTATTTTAGCAATGTATAGGTTTATTTCATTGCAGTGTACTAAATTACAGGTCTGGACTCACTGGAGATGTTGAACAGAGTATTACTTTTGTGAATGACATGTATTTTGAAATCCCAGTTACTTATTTACATATGAAAGAGTTTATATTGTAGCTGTTCCCATTAAGGGCCCAATCCTGTCTCACTTAAATCAACAGCAGAACTGGGCCCTAAATAAAATTAGAATAAAAGCCTTTCCATTTATCCATTTGTATATTTATCTTGTGCCTCTGACCACATGATCCAAGGGCCAGTTGAGTCATGCTGAGGACAGGGAATTAGGAAACGTGAACCAGGAAGCTGGAAAAGGAATCTGCTTCAGTTTCAGAATATTAGTCATCATATTAAAGAGACTCGACCCCCATTTTATTTGGAATTTGCTCCTGGTTATTACAGCAAGGATTTGACCCTGCTTCTATAGAAATCAAGAAAAGTGATTCACTATATATTTTTAAAGGGTCAGTGTTAGTGATTTAGATTAACAACTTTAATCTCCTATCATAATTCAAAACTCATGCTAGCAATTATGGCTCTTAGCCATATACATACATACATACAGAACAGTATACATACATACAGAATACATACATACAGAATACATACATACAGACATACATACAGAACAGTGCAATTCAACAGTTTCCTGAATTATGCCATTTAAATGGCCCATTATTGAAATACTCAGCCTTACTGTAAGACCAGTTCAGTCCCGTTAGAAAGGGATGCATTTTTCCAAAAAAAACAGTAAAAAGGAATCTTCCCCATATTTGATTTGATACTTTAATGAAATCTAGAATACGAGGGGATGTGTGGAATGAGTCATTTCTCATATTCTGGCCTAGTTAGAAGTCATGTAAGCATTTTATACCTTTTCTCCTGGTTTTTATTTCCTCCACCAAATATCAGCAAACACAGACATTACCATTGCTTTTGAACGATGGGAAATGGAATTTATTTACCTGTATCTGGAAGTTCTTCAAGATGTGTGGTCCTCATGTCCATGACAGGACAAGGAGTAATGGTCTCAAGTTGCAGTGGGGGAGATTTAGGTTGGATATTAGGAAAAACTTTTTCACTAGGAGCGTGGTGAAACACTGGAATGCGTTACCTAGGGAGGTGGTGGAATCCCCTTCCTTAGAAGTTTTTAAGGTCAGGCTTGACAAAGCCATGGCTGGGATGATTTCGTTGGGGATTGATCCTGCTTTGGGCAGGGGGTTGGACTAGATGACCTCCAGAGGTCCCTTCCAACTCTGATATTCTATGATTCTATGATCTGTATCCCACACATGGGTATGCACGTGTGCCATGCTCTGGAGTCCACACATTCTAACAAGCAGTGTCTGTTGGCCTGCAGATGCTCAGTAAATCTCCTCATGTTTCCGAACAAGGGCATAAAAGGCAGCGCGATCCGACGCCTCTCCAGTTCCTCTTCTTACTATGAATCCAAAAGGATCCGAAGCAGAGGGGATGGAGGGCAGGTAGTGAAATACAGATGGGGACCACATATCTCAAAGGACTTCCAGTTATAGGTAAGTAAACTCCATTTCTTCTTTGAGTACTGGTCCCTATGTGTATTCCACATGTGGGTTGTTGTCAAGCACTGCTCAGACTGGAGGGTGATATGAGGAAGCCGGCAGCAAAGATGCTTTCAGTACTGTAATTCCCAATATTGCATCCATAGCAGAGGCCTGAACGAGTGTGTAAGCCTAGCAAACATGTGGATGGAGCTCCAGGTGGCTGCTCTGCATATGTTTAGTATTGGAATATCCTGCAGGGATGCTGTAGAGGCGGCTTGTGCCCTTGTAAAGTGTTCCCTGACTCTGTCAGGACGAGGTATGTCTGTTAACCTGTTGCACTTGATGATGCACCCAGAAATCCACATAGAGATTCTCTGAAAGGATACTGCTTGACCTCGTGACCTTTTGTTATGGCGAGAAAAAGTCTTGCTGATTTTCTGATAGGTTGGGTGCTTTGCAGGGCACAATTGACATACAGGGAATGAAGTCTTCTCTCTTTGGAAAAAGTGTGGGGCTTTGGAAGGAGGAACTTAGAATGAAGGCAAATGGATACCTTTTCCCTGGGATAAACCATGTAAGGAGGGTCTGCCTTGAGGGGTCCCAACTCGCTCACCCTCCTGGCCAATGCGATATCAACTAAGAATGCAACTTTCATGGACAGTTGTGACGGATCTTTCTCAGGAAGTGTGGTAGTTGGGGAATGGGAGGAAAGGCATACCTGAGATCATTCAGCCATGACAAAAGGAGAGTGTCACCCTCGGAGCTGTGGCCCATAGCTCCTCTGGAAGTTTTCTGTTCATTTGGGACACAAAGAGATCCCGTTGAGGTGTACTTTACTTAATGAATATTTCTCCAGGACAGAGTCGTGAATCTCCCACTAACAGCCCATAGAGAAGTGCCTGCTGAGGTTGTCTGTTAAAAGAGCTCTGAGCATCTGGAAGGTATGCAGCTTGGATAGTGGTGCAGTTTCTGGGGCACGCCTTCCTGATGGTTGGAGGTGAGGCACTTTCTGAGACGCTGAAGTAGTATCATCCTCGGGGGTAATAATGTTCCTCAGGAGTGCTGGGCTGGAGATGATGGGAGACTGCGAGAGACTCCATATGGCCTGGTGTCTAGGGGGTTTTGCAGTTGGGACCAATGGTTCTAGCACACCTGAGGAGGTAGTATGGTCCTTGGACAAGCAAGCTGGTACTGACGATGAGTGTGGACCTGCACTGCTATATGGAACCGGTGGGTGACGGTCCTTGAGTTTCGGAGCTGGCATCACCAATGGAACTGGCAGTTCTTTTCCCTCTAGCCTGGAGGTTTTCAGTGGTGCTGGTCCTTAGGATCGACGCATGAAGGCTCAACTGCACTCGACAGGCTCAGGGAGGGATCGCGTCTTTTGTGGATGGTCCTGGATGGGGATCTGTCCTTGCAATTGTGAGTGTGCATGTACTCTCACAGAAAGCCCTGGAGGAAGAGTCCTTGGGCTTAGGAGCTCCAGACTCCGCTTCTAAGCTCATACTTGGGGAAGTGGGGGTGCTCCTCATCTGTTGAGGCCAATGAACAGGGGATCTCCCTGGCCTGAATCAGTATGGAGCCTTATAGCCTTCTCCATAAGGTGTTTCCTTAGATGAAACTCAAGAGCAACAAATACTGCACTTTGCAGAGATATGCATCTCACCCAAGCAATAGAGGCAGTGTTTGTGATCCTCACTCACAGAGAAGGTGCAAGGGCAGGAGATACAATTCTTGAACACCGGGATTCTGGGCATAGTCCCAGACCATGGGCAGGGAGTCCCCACTACGGGGGAAAATGAGGTATATTAACTATACTATAAAACTCTAGCTGTACTAATATAAAAGCTATGAAGTATAAAACTATCTACAAATCAATTTACAGGTTCTATCAGAAAAACTGCAGAAATCTACAGACATAGGATTTCAACTCTGGTCAGCAGTGGTATGAAGGAACTGAAGAGACATCAGCCCGCACTGCTTCTTATGCCCTCGGTCAGGAGCACGAGGAGACCTACTGAGCATGTGCAGACCAACGGACACTGCTTGTTAGAATTTCCAGACGTGGATGCATGGCATGCATGCATTCCTACGTGCAGAATAGAAGTATAAAAAGTTTCATAAATCTTCTCTCGGAGCATAAGGTATTTCACTTGGAGAGCTTGTGACTGATGCAAGATAAACACTTACAAAAATTATCCTGTTCTGGTAACTGCACTTACTTAGAAAGCCCTGGGCAGCAGCTGCCTTTCTTTTTTACAACCTCAGGTTAAAAATCAGAGCAAACACACCCAATCTACACCAAGAACAGAAAAGTCAAAGTACAAACTTTTAAAGGAGCACTCCCCCCCCCCCCCCATGATATTACAATCCAGAGTTATTGACCGAATAGATAGCACCTATCATGTTGGTACCTGAATGGCACAGCGATGTTATTTTTAGAGACCCCATGCAGATACTACACGTCAGATCACTTAAAGGAGTGTAAACGGCAAATGTTGCTCACACCCTCTCTGCCCCACCACATGTTTTGAAGACACCCGGAAATCATTTGCAGGAGGTCAATGCTGGCGAATCTCTGAAGGAAACTCATTGCTTTTAACAAGGTGAATAATGTACCTGTTCCTCAGTTGGAAGCAAACATTGCAAAGGAATAATTAGAAGCTATTTGACCTGAAACCCACATGCCCATTACTGTGGTATTTTTCCACCCTACTGCAGGTGAAGCAGAAGATGGGCTGGATCTGAAAGAGGAGGGGAGGAGTGGCAGAGCAAGTGCTTATTTATAAAGGGACATAAACAGCACCCTCTCCCACAGGCTTTGGAAGGCAAACCTGTCCTGCCTGAAGGATGCCTAAGTGTGGGGAGGATTCCAGCTAACATTGGCTTTCTAGTTGGAAAGAGGCTACAACCCCTGCGAGCTCTTGCACTCTGACAGTCACAAACGATCCTGAGCTACTTGCATCCTGTGTGTTCACACCACTTTTCCTTTTCATCCAAGCACCTTACCTCGGTATATATCATCCTGCCTGGGAGATCCATTGCTCCACTAGAGCAGGGAAGGAATAAGCTCACAAAAATGGGAAAGGTGAGTGAGCATTCACTGAAACAGCTATATAAACATCTGGTTTCTTCTGCTAAGCTCTAAGAAATAGAATTTATTTGATAAATTAAAAATGTATGTATGTTTGAAATGGTTTGCTGTATACATGCCTGCTAAGGCAGGAGAAAAATAGGTCAGAAATGCAGGTTATTGTGTTTCATAATGATGGGAGATCCAAAGAGGTTTCTGTCTTTCACTCTGTCTTTGTGAACAGTTCTAATGCTAAGTGTTTTAAACCCAAACAGATCAGAGAGATCAAATAGATAGGGGAAATACTGTTGAGAATGTCTCCTTTGCAAATGGATGAAGGATCAAGCCAATATGAAAAGATCTGAGAATTCAGGGTTAAAAGGAGGAACCCCAAAACCTCTTTGGAAACTAAAAGGAGATCTTGCATAGGAGGACAGAACAATTCATTAGCTTTTACTTATCTCCATGAATCTTCTCTCCTATGTCTGCTAAAGTTACTATAGTCCATAGAGTTGTGTCCTGGTTTCCTCTCTTCACGGAGACTTGAAAAGCTGAGCAGATTTTTGGTGGGATGGGGAAAGGAAGGTGGAGAAGGATGAGAGCGAAAAAGGTAACTCCGATAGATAACCCCAGCTTGTGTATCTTTGGAAAAGCAGCAGAGAGAACTCCTCATAACAGAAAGCCTTTATCTGGGATGTCTATGATCAAACAAACTGAAATGCCCTAGAAGTGGTTGTTCTGGGAATTCAACTCCTAAAATATCCATGGGGAAAACTTCTTCCCCACTGCCTCCTCCCACCTGCCCCCTTCCCCACCCCCCATGCACCTCCAAAAACAAAATTGGTCAAAATTGGAGCATTCCTCACACTCAAGTGCACTTAGGGGTTGAAATGTGGTTATTTTGGGTAGTTTTTAGTTCAGAAACATAGGAATTAATATTTTCTGATGTGCTTATCAGATGATATACACACCCATTATTTCAGCTGTTTGGCTTTGTTTGTTTGTTTTTTAATTAAAATGTTCGGGTTTAAACAAATCTGCTTCTGTCAGTGTGGAAGTCCCAACATGGAAAAGTGTCCTGCAGAAGTCTGCATATATGTATTAGATCCCCATTGTATACAAACATAGCCAAGTAGAACAAGCCACTACCTGAAGTTCAGTCAATAAGTATGATTCAGTCTGAAACTCAAAAGATTAATCCCAAAGGAATCCAGTGAGAATGGGGTCAGCCAATAACTCTTCCAAGGAATGGCATGCAGTTTACAGAATAATTATGATCTGGAATTATGATTATAGAAACTGGTGAATTAACAACACAGGAAGCCTGCCCTTAAGTCTGGGCTATTAGCTTATGGTGAGGAGGCAGCAGAAGAAAATAGCTTATCAATAAATCTAATGCAGTTAAATAGGATTGCCAGCTTCTCTACTCTGGGGGTTGCTATTTAACTACTGAATAGACCCTGCAGAGAACTGGCAAAAACTGGGCTAACAGTTCACCAGCTCTGGATCTGTTCTGTGCTCTGTGCACAAGGAAGCAGAGATCTCCCAGGATTCTGTGAACAAGAGGATGACTCTAACTAGTGAGTGCAGTTTTTGCCTCAGGGTATCACTATATGACTGAGAGGCCAATTAGACAGTGCTGCTAAATGGCATGATTTTGTCATGAGTGTGACAATATTAGGGTTTTTTTCTTAAAGTACAAGCTCCTGGAGTCAGGTGAATATGAAATCTTAGCTTCTATTTGGGAAATTAAAAAAGTTAAACATGAAATCACAAATCCTAAATACGCCAACAGCAGAAGTTAAATAAAAAAGATCCCACATTTTATTATTTTTTAAATTTCATGATTTTAAAGGCAATCTAATGACTTATTTGGGACCTGACTCATGATTTTTGAGTGAGTTGCATTGGCAATGGATCTTGAGCAATATTTTTACTCTAAGGGCCAGATCCTCAAACTCACCTAAATTGCCATATCTCTACTGAAGTCCATGGATCTATGACAATTTGCACCAGCTGACGATCTGGCTGTAGCTGGCACAGTGTACGTTAATGCTATAGAAATTTCAGGTAGAGGACAGCACCAGGAACTATCAGGTTCCCAGGAGGAAGAGGCTGCATCCACCTCTAAAATAGGGAAAACTTAGAGGTCCTGACGAGGCACAGTACTTCCCTGACTCCCGTTAACTACAGTACCTTATGATCACATGGCGACATGAAGCATAATAAGACCAGTTAGATGTAACTTGCCTTCTCATTTCTGATTCTAGAAAAGGTCTGACATTTACTCAGTTGAGATCCATGGCGCACGGGAACTGGAGAAAACAGACAAGGAAGATGAAGAGGAAAAGTACAAAGATCTGAAAGGTAACAAGAAAAAAAGCAAGAAGACAGAAGACCTTAAGAAAGAACTGGACTTGGTGAGTGTCCTTTGGGGGGGGGGGGTGAAGGGTGGGGTGCCTAATCTTGCTCCTGTTGATGATGCAGGATCAAACTGACCTGTATAAACAGAATGATTCTTGTAGAAATTAGCTGGTGTAGGAACAGTATCTCCTTTATTCCCAGCACTTCTCAACAGGTCTGCATTTTCCTAGGTGAAGTGGTTATAGCAGGATTTCACCGTCACCTCTTTGGGTAAGGTTCCATTGGCACAGAGCAGACTGACAGAAAGATAGAAAGCCAGAAGCCAGACCTCTCAGTTCAGAAGCTGGTAATAGGTCTTAAAAATGTGTACCAGATTGAAGTGCAACTTTTTCAGGCTGAAAGATTGCAGAGTGGATTAGTTTCTAGAGCTCTGGGCTAGGACTCAGGAGAACTGAGTTCTATTCCGAGCTCTGACAGTGGCTTACTGGGTGACTTGGGGCAAGTTATTTCCCCCCTTTCTTTGCCTCAGTTTCCCCACCTGTAAAATGGGAATAAGGATACTGACTTCCTTTATAAAGTGATCTGAAATCTACTGGTGCAAAGTATGAGATAAGAGCTAGGCATTATTACAGAACCTTCAAAGGGCAGTGAGTTCCCACAAACGTGTTTCCAAGGATTCCACTAATAGCTGTATTTCCGTGGTGCTTTTAATCTTTCAAAGGTCTTTACCAACACCAAGTAATTGATTCTCAATATCCACCCCACTCCCCCCAGTGAAGTGAAGGAGTGTTATTTTCATTATTTTTATTTTACTGATGGAGAAACTGAGGCACAGAGAAGTTAATTGACTCAGCCAAAGCGACAGAGAGTCAGTGTGGCAGAGCTGAGATGAGAACTTGAGAGTTCTTGGCTTCTAAGATTGAGTTCAGAGTACACACTATGGGTAAAATTATCAAAAGTTCTGAAGTGATTTATGAACCTACGTTCCATTTTCAAAAGTGAATTAGGTACCAAACCTCAACAGGATTTAGGCTCTCTGGTGCCCATGTCACTTTGAAAGTGGGACTTGTGCATTTCTGAAAATTTTATCCCATGTTTCTCTCCAAAACCAAAATGAAGTCCACAAAATTCCTGTTGGATTATGTTTCTACCATGCCTAGCACAATGGGCCTCTGATCCATGACCTAGGTGCTTCAGTTCTATTGTAATACAATTAAATAACAATTACACCCCAATAAACTAGATTTCCAACAGGATAAGATGGAAACATTAATAATCTCACTAACTGTCATATTTTAACACCTCTGATGTAAGTTCTGCCTTTTATAGTCCTGAAAAGGAAGAAAGTATAGTTAAAGGATTTGTGGGGGTGCCATCTGACTCATTGGGGTCCTTGGCCACATAAACCTCACTGTGACTCGGTTCCCCCATATGTAAAATGGCTATATGCCTACTTCATGGGGGTATTGTGAGGCCCAATTAAAGTTTGCAAGCTCTGAAAGGTGCTATTTATGGAAAATAAAGAATTATCACCACATAGAATTGAAAAAAAAAGCCATCCTCTCTCCTTCCCCCAATATTCCATATTTAACCCTAGCAACCCATGGATTCATACACAAGGGTCAAACGTGTGAGGTGCCAACTTTATTGTGAGCCATGTATCTGAGCAGTGCGCTTGTAGCGATCAGTGTACTTCCTGGGCACAGGGGTCAGGGCTGACTGAACATACATGCAGAAGATATCTATGCAATGTTTTGTTCCTGCAGAATGACAGTCAGTTTGTTCTAGTTTTCCAACACATTAACTTCGCAGCCCCTCCTACTCTTTTTAAATTATGCTGTTATGAGGGGAACTGGGGGAAAACTGCTGTCATGTTAATGGATTGTCTGACCTGTTTGCTAACCCTGAGAACATCCCTTTACAGTAAGCATTTAAAACTCCCATACTGTTTCCTGAATGGTATCTGTTTGATCTCTAAAAGAAAAGGAGTACTTGTGGCACCTTAGAGACTAACCAATTTATTTGAGCATGAGCTTTCGTGAGCTACAGCTCACTTCATCGGATGCATACTGTGGAAACTGCAGAAGACATTATATGCACAGAGACCATAAAACAATACCTCCTCCCACCCCACTCTCCTGCTGGTAATAGAGGAGGTATTGTTTTATGGTCTCTGTGCATATAATGTCTTCTGCAGTTTCCACAGTATGCATCTGATGAAGTGAGCTGTAGCTCACGAAAGCTCATGCTCAAATAAATTGGTTAGTCTCTAAGGTGCCACAAGTACTCCTTTTCTTTTTGCGAATACAGACTAACACGGCTGTTCCTCTGAAACCTGTTTGAACTCTGTACTTCCTCCTTCCTTCAATACAATTCCCATCTCTGCAGCTACACCCTGCATTTAATCAAGTGCATTAAACTCATGGGATGTCATTTCAGGGGAAAAGTTCTCAAGTCTCCCCCTACAACCACCATTTTCTACCAATGGTAATAACCTGCTGCTTCTGGCGAGAAGACTGCACTGCATGACTGCATACAAGACATGTTACTGCTACAGTTCAGACCCCATTCCTATCAGATAAGGGCAACAATTTTTAGGACACACACAGACACTGTAGCACTTCTTAATTCAGCATGTTGACTACAGTGCTTAGTGTTTTGAGGCCTACAGTATCAGCGGATTTTAAGATTAGTTATCTTATCTAAACGAAGCAGAGTTATTCATCACAACCAGCATCACACAGGATACGTCTACACTACAATCGGAGGTGTAACTGCAGGATGTGCAGGCACACCTGAGCTAGCTTCGATTGAACTAGCCTGGTGTAACAGTAATGGTGAAAACGCATGAGCACGAGCTAGCCGCTTGAGTACGCCTCCAGAGCACTAGGCGGGGTTATATGGATATGGAGTGCTGTTCAGAGGCTTCCTCAGACCGAAGTCCACCCAACCGGACCCAAGCCTGAGATGGTCAAGTCGTCTTCTGCCCTGACCCTAAATCTTCCCCCCATACCTGAGTCAGCGCTGCCATCACTTACTGGCCATGGGGTTGGCATAGCAGTGGCCATGTGCGCCGGCGGCTGCGTGCCCCACTTCTGCCCCCTGCTGCACTGTGCGCGTGTTGCAGAACGAGAGGCACTAACTCCTCGGTGTGCACAGCACAGCCAAGTGGCGGTGGCCAGCAGGAGCGGGGCACGTAGCCCTTGCCGCGCCAACCCTACAGGTAGGAGGAGGAGAGCTGACCTGAGACCGAGAGGGTCAGGTTGTTTTCTGAACTGACCCGAGCCTCACACTTGGAGTCAGGTCCTGTCAGGTTGCAGGGCTCTGCTGCAGTCACACCTCAGATTGCCATGTAGACATACCCTGCGGTGTGTGGAGGAGGCTGGGTGGAGAGGGAGTTACAGAAGTGCCAGAAAAATGTGGACACCATTTCCCAATGCTAATTTGCACTCCACTAGCTTTTAAAACCTGACAAGCTCAAAGCACTTTACAAAAAGACCAGTTAAGACACACAACACCCCTGTGCGGCTGATATTTGTTGTGACACCCGTTTCTCATTTGGATAGATGGAGAGGTGATGAGACTTGTAAAAGGTCACACCATGAGTAAATGGCAGAGCTGGGATTAGAACCCAGAAGTCCTAGCTCTTCGGCTACAGCTGCTCAGAAAAAATTGAAATTTTGATAAAAAACTGTTTGTGGGAGGGGAAGGGGGGTTTGAGAAAAAACATTCCCTGACCATCTCTACTCTCAGCGTTTCATGCTAAGCCAAAAGATTGCCCTGTGTCTATTTTTGTATATAGATGGCTTCCCAACACTGTTGTGTCTGATGTTTCAAGTTTTTCAAAATAGAAATTATGCTTTCGTGTCTAAGAAGATGGATGACTTGCAACCATGAAAGAAGAAAAGGAGTACTCGTGGCTGTAGCTCACGAAAGCTTATGCTCAAATAAATTTGTTAGTCTCTAAGGTGCCACAAGTACTCCTTTTCTTTTTGCGGATACAGATTAATACGGCTGCTACTCTGAAACCAACCATGAAAGAGGAATTTCCCACTCCATCTTCCAAGTATGCAGCCCTGCATAATTAGTTGTGTGTGTTATGGGAGTGGCTCTTGCTTTTCTTTGCAGGATTAAGCATTTACCACCACTCTTTGAGGCATACTACCATATACTGGCAGCTGGACCAGTCACCAAGAACCCAGGGCAATTCTAGTGCTCTTCAACCCCAGACATACTGAATTTTTCAGACCCACTTTCAACTTTAAGACAGTCTGCTCACTTCATTGTCTTTTTCTTTTGGCCTTCAGGATGACCACAAACTCAGCAAAGAAGAGCTGGAGGAAAAGTACACTACAAATATCAGCAAGGTGAGTGAGTAAGATATGAGCAAGGAACAGTATGAATCAAATATCCTTAGTTCATATGTGGCCTGATCTAAAACCTACTGAGCTCAGTGGAAAAACATTGATATCAGCTGGCTTTGTAAGAGCCCCACCGTCATTATTAAAACAAAACATTTTATAGGCAGGATGTAGTAACTCACAATAGATACTGAAAACAGAGATCAGCCCAGATAGAGTGATTCAGATCTGGATTTTGATATGAATATCTCTGAAGTTTAAAGAAATTTCTGAGTATTTTAAATCAACACTATTGGAAAGCTTGAACCCAATGTTTGGACCTGATCTAAACTTTCCCAGAGTCTGAGGGAGTTTGGACCCGGTATTCAGAGTCAGATAGGTCTCAATCTAAACAGATGGCATCAGTAAAACAATACAGAATCATAGAAATGTTGTGCTGAAAGGGACTTCAAGAGGTGATTAGTGGAAGTCCATGGGACTTGACTTCCTATTGACCCCCATGGGGGATGCACATGCACATCTTGGCATTAACAATACTTAGGTATGAAAGCACCTTGAAAATATAAGGTCATAGACTATGGATAATCAAACCCCCATGTCCTAGGGGAAAAAGAGAGAAAGGCAAAGTTTCAGGTTTTGAATATGAAGTCTGTATTGTCCGACTCAATGTTTACAATGTTTTTTGCATTTGCAGGGGCTCACTAGTGCAAGAGCAGCAGAGATTCTGGCCCGAGATGGTCCCAACGCTCTCACTCCTCCTAAATCCACTCCTGAAATCATTAAGTTCCTCAAGCAGATGGTGGGAGGGTTCTCGATCCTCTTATGGGTGGGGGCTTTGCTCTGCTGGATTGCCTTCGGGATTCAGGTTGCTCAAGGTGTTGCTTCAGCATTTGACAATGTAAGTACTGTGCCAGCTATCTGGTCATCATCTCTTTATAGTCTGGTAGGGCTTTTTAGAGAGCTGGGGTCTCCAATCCTCCTACTTCAGTACTAAATTATTCCAATAAATGACAGATTTATTGGTATACTCTGTCTGCTCTCTCTTTATCTATCTTAGGCTTTTGTACTGCCACCCATCACCATAGTATCTAAGCACTTTCAACTGCAACAGTGAAGTCCCTAATGGACTTTATGGAGTCTGACTCTTCTCCTCTTTTGGGGTAAAAACTCTCCTTGGAGCATGTTCTCTTTGTCTGGTTCTGGTTGGTGGGTTGGTTGCAGTTCTTGTTTTATTTTGGAGATTAGGCTAGATGGGGTTTTGAAGACACAAAACAAACAAACACAGCTTAAACGTGGTGAGGGTTTGTTCATTTTTATGGTGGCCTCTGCATCTTCTGGTTTGGGGTAAAATTTCAAAAGCACCTAAAGGATTTAGAAGCCTAAGTTCCATTTTCAAAAGTCACGTAGGTGCTTTCAGTATTCTTTGTCGGATGAAGAAATAATAAAGTATCATAAGGCTATTCAGTTACTATTCCCAATCCAATGGTTTCCAGGAATTACTGGAATTCTCCTGAAAGCACTTATTCCTGTGAGCTCTGGAGCCTGACTTCTAAACTCAAAAGATTCAAAAGTTTGGATGAGCATCCAGTCTTCACCTAGTAGTGAAGTAGAAGGCTGTAGTTCACCTCTGGCCTTCTAATCATGTGTTTCCACCCTGACCCCCAAACAGCTGGCTTGGCCTCCATTCAGATGAGATTCTTATGAAAACTCTTAAAATCCTAGTTTGTCATTTGAGGAGCCATTTTGGTCCTTACTGCTTATTAACATGCAAGAGCAGACAGTAGAATTCCAAATTTTCTCTTAACCAGTTAAACTAGTTCCACCTTTGGCTGAAGAGTTTATTTTATCAAATTGTGTAATTATGATTTGTACCAGGAACAACAGTAAATGTTGTTTTTAAACTAACTGGAATCATTTCTCTTATTGGTCAGCTGTACTTGGGAGTAGTCCTCGCACTGGTTGTCATCCTCACTGGTATCTTCGCTTACTACCAAGAGGCTAAAAGTACCAACATCATGGCCAGCTTCAGTAAAATGATTCCACAGGTGAGTGGCCAACCTTCCTCTTTGTTTCTGAAGAGCAAGGGATCGAAACAGTTGGAGGTTGAAGATACTAAATGTATTAATGGCACAAAACTGGCCTCAATGGCCTGTATTTAGAGTGGGCACCCTCTTTAATAGCGAAGGGAGAATTAAGTTTCCCTTTTCCCTCAATAGTGGCTTTGCTCATGGTATTCCCATAACAGAATTCAGCACCCAGGGCTTTCGGTGGATGAGAAGCAGAATCCAGTCTTAGAATACAAAGAGTTGGGAACTAATTTTTCTCCAAACTCCATCCTTCACCAGAAGGGTCCAGATCAGTCTTGGGCAATTTATCCTCTTTCTTACTCAAACATGAGATCCTTTAGTTTGTTTTACTAGTGTAACCCAGGCTAACATTAACAATTATCCAGAGTGCCAAGCATATGTGACATTGTATGAATATGTATTGCTAACAGGCACCTCTCCCAATGAGCTTGCAGCATAATATGGAGTTACTGCTCTGTCAGGTTGAAAATTGAATTAAAAAAGAATTCACCAAAGAGAGCTGGGCAGCAGTATGATTACAGCAAGGGAGACCTCCCATTCCTATTCCCAATTTTGCTGCTCATGGTGCATAATCTTGGGCAAGTGACAACCTCTGTGCCTGTGTTTACCCATCTGTGAAATGGCAATAGTATTGCCTCCCTTGTAAATCTCTTTGAGATCCTTGAATGAAAGGTGCTATACCAAGTGCTAAGTGTTATCAGCTGACCTTGGTGATCTTTCAGTGGTGACTTACATGGAATTCAGTAGATGATGAGGAAGAAAGGAATTATGCTGATGTATAACGAAGGGGAACCAGTAAGGGTGAAATTCAGCCCCTGAGCAGAGCTCAAAAACAGGGATAGGTGGTACACAGGCCTTGTATCTGCTCTCTGCACAGGGCTGAATTTCACCCATGGTGAAAACAGGAAGGACATGGAGGATGTGGGACTGGTTACACTCTTGTTGTTCTCTTGTCCCATAGCAAGCTCTTGTCATCCGAGATGGAGAGAAGAAGGAAGTGTCTGCAGAGCAGCTGGTGGTGGGGGACATGGTGGAGATTAAAGGTGGAGATCGGATCCCAGCTGACATCCGTCTGATCTTTGCTCAGGGGTGTAAGGTAAACACCAGCTTTAGGATGTGTAGGGATGAAAAAGGAGATGTGACGTTTATGCCACTTTTTTCAGAGAGGTTGCAAGAAAGGAGAGACCATTTGTACAGAGAGGACAACTCAGCAGCCAATAGAAACCTTGGTTTTACATGTATGCTGTGCCTGTGCAGAAGGTCCACTGTGGCACATGCTGCACATGGGACAGAAAAGCCCATTACTTATAACAAATCTCCACTCCAAGGAGAGTCAAGTGCAGCATCTCTGCATCATGATACCCCAGCCAGTCTCCTGCCAATGCTATTTCCCAGGGCAATAATGGAAGCACTGACCCAGTAAACCTCTCTGCAGCGTTGGAGGTAGCTACTTGAGTTATGCTTCCCTCCAAGTCAGTAGGCACTACACTGGTTTGACTTGATCTCCATGATAATAGAGGCATTTGCTCTGTCATACTCTCCTACCAGGAACACAATTAGAGTCTTCTGATTACCATATCCCTGCCACCTACCACTACAATTGCTTCAGCCCTTCCTTACAGGTGTACGAACGCGAGGGTTGCCAACTACATGAGTGTGTCTTTTGTTGACTGACAGGTGGATAATTCCTCCCTCACGGGGGAATCAGAACCACAAAGCCGTTCCTGCGACTTCACCCATGAAAACCCCTTGGAGACTAAGAACATTGCATTCTATTCTACAACCTGCCTGGAAGGTAACCTGCAGACTGAAGGACGGGGCTGAAGAAGCTGCTTGTGTATAGGCACCACATCATACCTGCTCCTAATTAATTCTCAATAGTGCTTTTTGCAGGAATCCCCAGAAAGTTTTAGGACAAAGAAAAACAAATAGGCAATTACAAAAAAGAAACACACCATGCAAACAAAAATAAAACTCAAAGTACTGGGCTGGCCCTAAGTTCTACCTAAGTTCACAGCTGACGTGTATTTGTGGCTGTCTGGTCTGGTGCTAGATAGAAGCAATAGCTGATCAACTCCTCCTTGCTTTTGGCTTTCCCATCATTATCCTAAGTCATGTAAAGTCAGAGCTGCCCATAAAGAAGTGCTTCAGATGCTTGAGGAAGTTGCTCTTTCTTTTAGAGGGGAAAACAAAAAGTACTTAGTGCCATATATATATAATTATTTACTATGCTTGTCTAGCACTCTGTACAATGCGTCCCTGATTGTTGACTGAGGCCTTACAGTGCTACTGCAGTACCATTAATGAACAACACTGATGAAAATACACTGCGAGACCCGCCCTTCCCTTATGTAAATAATCCCTCCAGATTTCTGAGATGGATGACATTTCTGTGGTGAAGTACCTGTAAATAAAAGGTTGACAAAGGTCCCTAATATCAGGGCAATATTGCACACGAGACTCATAGCACAGTGGGGTCTGGGTCTAGGACATGAGCTCCTAGGTGCTACAGTAATATTATATTTCTTTACTAATTGTAATTCTCCTCAGGGAACCAATCCCACACTGTGCTGATAACCTCTTCTTTTCTTCCAGGTACTGCCACTGGCATGGTAATCAACACTGGGGACCACACTATCATCGGACGCATTGCCTCACTGGCATCTGGAGTTGGGAATGAGAAGACACCCATTGCTATTGAGATTGAGCACTTTGTGCATATTGTGGCAGGAGTGGCTGTTTCTATTGGGGTTCTCTTCTTCATCATTGCCGTGTCCATGAAATATAAGGTTCTGGACTCCATCATCTTTCTTATTGGCATCATTGTGGCCAATGTGCCCGAAGGACTGCTAGCCACAGTTACTGTAAGTCTACATAAGCCATAAGCATGCATTATACAGCTTTGCTTCTGCTTGTACCAGAGTTCATGTCAGTGTGTGCATCACAGTACAAGGTGGTCTAGTAACATAGGGCCAAGTCCTAGGTTCCTGCAGTCCTGCTGACAGCAGGGGATCCCCGATTCTCATAATCCCTTAGTAGAGCTAGGATTAAAATGGGTGCACTCTTATTGAGAAATGGGCTACGGATGGAACTGTTTACTTCAATCCATATGAACTTTGGGGCCTTGGACCTGCCCAGGTTTTGGAAAATCCAGACTCAACTCCCGACCCAATATCACCATGTTCAGCTATCTCTAGTTTTTGTGATCTTCTAGCAGATGTAACAGCTGCTGCAAGATCAAGTATTCACAGGTGACCTCATGTGAACTCATGCCAGCCCTGAGAAGACCTTACAGAGATCTTTTCAGAGCTGGGAATTTCCCAATTCAAGATGGGGAACTCCAGAATTAACAGAGACCTTAATCTCAAAGACTTCAGCACAACAGTCCCATGTACATATGTGTACACATCAACACACCCTTTAATATAGTCTTGGGTACCATTTCTGTCTCCATTACTGACCTGCTACATGACCTTGAGCAAGCCACTTCCCTTCTATTTGCCTCCATTTCCGCATCTGTAAAATTGGGGGTATTACTACTTCATGTGTGTATGAAAGATTCAGTGCAGTAACAGTTATAAGCATTGCAAAAGCCCCAGATAGACGGCACTAAAGAAGTGCAAAGTATTCTGAGTACCATGAGTAATAGTATACTAATCCCTTCCTCGGCATCGAGCTACCTGTGCACTTCACTGCCACTCACACATCGGTGGTCTTAGCCACAGCCATACTCAAGATGTGAAACCACTGTCAGTCATCTTTGGTGACAAACAACTATAATAATTATTAGTACTAGGACACCACAGTGATGGTCACCTCAGAAATATCATGACAAAGTTAGTAGTAATGTCAGCTACCATTAGCTTTGCAGTTACGAGCTTCTCCCAAATTCCAGACCTTTTACTTGAAATATTCTCCTAATGGCTGTCATGCTCTCCTCCTATCATCAAGGCAGTAGTCTTCTCTAACCACACATGAACCTCAGTGCCAGATGCAGTATTTGCTAACTAGAGGCCAGATTCTGATCTCAGTTACACCATTATAAATCTGGAGTAGCTTCACTGGCATCAATGAAATTACTCTAGATTTACATGAACATAATGGAGATCAGAATCAGGACCTACAGCTTTAGCAGGACTATGGTTGGTTGAAAAATATCATTTTTTAACAAACAATTTCAGGACTTTTTTCCAAAAAGCTCAGTGAATATTTTCTGGATTTTCAACCCAAAAAACCCAAAAAACCAAAAATCTTTTGAAAAAAAAAAAAACTTTTTGGCTAAGTTTTTTGGAAAATAAAACCCATTTTTTCTTCATTTAAAATATAAAAATTTTACTGAATTTTTCAGTTTTTTTCCCTTGAAAAAATGTTTTAGTTGAAATTTCAAACAAGCTCCGATTACCATCCATGGAATGGCATTGTGCATGGCTTTATTACATTGCTCACTGTAATGGTACCTCACTAACAGGGGGCTGAAATTCTCCCATTCCACTAGGTGAGTTTGTCTCTGACAGCCAAGCGAATGGCAAAGAAGAATTGCCTGGTAAAGAACTTAGAAGCTGTGGAAACGCTGGGCTCGACCTCCATCATCTGCTCTGACAAGACAGGGACCCTCACACAGAACAGGATGACTGTTGCCCATCTTTGGTTCGACGATCAGATCTACGCGGCTGATACCAGTGAAGAACAAACAAGTAAATATATATGGGAGTTGGAGAAGGGCAACAGCGTGGCTTAGACATGCCACAAGGTGGATGTCAATCTGGATTTAGCTGTGGCTGATGGTGATGACTTGTAGTTGCATCATCTGGTGGCTCTTTCGTGGACTGTCTTCAAACTGGCTGGTGGGACTCAGGACAGGTCCCACTGGACAAGCACCCACATCAGAAAAAGCAATCCAGCTGGTAACGAGAAGTCTCCCCCCCACACCTTGTTGACCATCTTAGTCAAGATGGCAAGGACTGAATGGAACCTGAACTCCAATCTCACCCCTGGAGATGGTCCTTACTAAATCAGGTTAAGGCACATTGTGTGGGGTGGGGGAAGGGAGCCTGTCCTACAGCTATTTTCTGGATAAATAGAATTCTTCAGTCTAGGAAGTACCAATTCATCCTCTCTCTTCAGCACTAAACGAACAAAGGGTCTTGACCAAAATAACTCTAGCAGGACTGGTAGGGAGGTAGGGGTGGTGTGCATGGCGGAAGACATGGTTTGAATTTCTATATACCAATATTTGATACGAATGGCTGTTTTCTCCTGCAGCTGCTTTAACATAAGGATTCCACAGCCAGTATCTAAAAAGCTGCAATGTTTGTTTGGTTTTTTTGCTTCTTTTCAGCCCAGTCCTTTGATCAAAGTTCTCAATCATGGGCAGCTTTATCAAAGATTGTAACACTCTGCAATCGGGCCGAATTCAAACCAGGACAGGAGAACGTTCCAATAATGAAGGTATCCGCTACTTTCTTAGCTCATTTCTTTTCCACTGAAAAGATTGCATGCAAAGTTTGTCTTTGTTTTTAGTGCTGCCTTTCATTTTAAAATTCCCATCACTTTTGTGTTCTTTGCTTTACCCTTGAAAGGAGTATAAAGTGGGAACAGACAAAAGCAATTATCATTTAAGTCAAAAAACAGCTCAAGTATCAAGAATAGTCTTTCCACACTATTAATCTAAACTAATCAGAACATAGCAAGGGTAAGAGCTCTGAGTTATTTCCTTGTAGAGCATTTGTTATACGCTGTACTCTGATTGGAACAGGGGACTCCAGATTTCTGGGCTCTACTCTTGATTCTGGGACATGCAATGGAACTCACTTGACAGTTGGGTAAACCGAGGCACTGACATTAAGAGGGTAGAACATTCATTTGCCCCAGAGCAGACTTATAAAGCTTCCAGCAGAGCAGAGAACAGCCACAGATCTTTCACTTCCATGGAATGAAATGCAAATCTCATCTCTTTGCGGTAGCTTTGTCACAACAGCAACCCTAAAGAATGGCTCAATATCACTACGCTAAAGACCACAATTAATAAAATCAACAGCAATACAACCCAAATGCTCCCATGGCATAATTCAAGAGAAGGATGGAAAATATAATCTCTCCTACTGATTGCTTGGTGCTTTGCTGCCAGGGTGACAGCTACATTAGAAAGTATGCTTTCTATCACACACGTGTGTAAAGTTATTTCAGCTCTTTGGATGAAAGTGAAAAAGTATTACTACTAAAAATACATGTTTGCTCTTCTCTGCACAGAGAGTTGTGGTGGGCGATGCCTCAGAAACAGCCCTGCTGAAATTTGCTGAAGTAATCTTGGGTGATGTAATGGGCATTAGAAAACGGAACAGAAAACTGGCCGAAATTCCTTTCAATTCTACTAACAAATTCCAGGTGTGACTTTCTTTTTTGGAAAATGAACCAGTCAATCCATATCTTTGTCCAACCCAGTGTTAGTGCCTGGGATATGGTGACATTAATGGAGAAATTCAATATCCTATACAGTTTAAGCTCAGAAAACCAAAGCCACGTATTTCCATAGAGGCAGCTACCCTGCTGGGACTTTCATGCAAGGCCATGCAATTAGTTCCAGGGAATTCCGGTTACATTATGAAAGACGGAATGGAGCTGTAGCCCATGCAGTGTGGCCAAGCTGCTTTGAGCACTGTATGTAGGAACTCATCGTTTCTATAAACAGTGTCTCCATATTAAAGATGAAGGTGAATTCAATCTGCATCATTTTATGGAAATAACAGTATTGACAGCTGTCAGGCTCAGAGAAAGTTGAAAGTGCTGCCTAAGATTGGGCCAAGTTTGGGCACCTGTATCTTATTATTAAAATAAGATTAATTATTTTTATTACGATCACACAGTGATCTGGTATATGACATTATACCAAGGTATTTCATTCTATCAAAGACCAGATTTATCACTTCAGAAGAGATAACATACCATTAGTGAGAAAGAGGAGGAGAAATATTTCTTGGCTCCAAGTTAAATGGACTCTTATGGCCAAATTCTGCTGTCAGACAAGCACGGCCAATTCCTATTGCCATCACAGTGGGGGTTGCATATCTGAGGGCAGAATTTAGCTGTTGGTGGGTTATGGTGGAAACTGAAGGGGACCATACAATGTTTCAATCATTCCATCTTCATGGTGCACACAGCTCTCAATCCATGAGACTGAAGACCCCAATGATAAACGCTTCCTGCTGGTGATGAAAGGAGCCCCAGAGAGGATCCTAGAGAGATGCAGCACTATCATGATCAATGGCGAAGAACAGCCACTGGATAAAGAGAGGGCTGAGGCTTTCCAGACAGCGTACATGGAATTGGGAGGCCTGGGAGAGAGAGTGCTGGGTGAGTTCAAAAGGGAACTGAAAATGGATTGCAATAGAGAAGGGAACTGGGAAATTAAAACTGAGTTAAACGCCAGTAGTCCTGGGCAACTGGATGTTATAATAATGGATGCATTAGGTGTGCATGGGATTACATGTGACAATCCTCATTCCAGTCTTGGAATGACAGCTGAAAATGGGTGCAGTCTTAGAGGAAAGAAGAGAAACTACCTGCTCATTCATGGATGAAATGGTAACCCCCCCTCAAAATAAGTAGGGGGTTAACCCACATCAACGCTGCTGTAAACTCTTTCCAGCAGGAACCGTGGGACAGTAGCTTGCACTATGGGGGTGGGGGGCCTTGACCTTTAGGCACTAGCACCATGCAAATAAAGAATCATGAATGTATCTGGTACATGGAAGAGAGCACTCTTCATTTCTGCTACAGGTACCAGCTACATTGCTTTGAATGCTGGTGCTGTAAAGGAACGTTAATGCAACGGACAAGGATTAAAATTCCACCACAGAGGACATTTCATGGTTGTTTTTTAAAATGCAGTGGTGTAACACAGAGAAGAACAAATAGCCATGCTGTATCAGGTCTCCCTTTCTCTTTTTACCCTTCCCCTTCACCCTGCTCTCACACTACTCTACTGGGTTTCATTCCAGGCTTCTGCCATTTGTACCTGCCCGAGGATGAGTTTCCAGACACCTACCCCTTCGATACAGACTCCATGAACTTCCCCACTTCCAACCTGTGCTTTGTAGGGCTCTTATCCATGATTGACCCCCCTCGCTCCACCGTGCCAGATGCTGTGTCAAAGTGCCGCAGTGCTGGGATCAAGGTAGGGTTTCTGCCAGTCAATAGCACAGCAGTTCTACATAAGGGATTCCTAAAGCACCCATGCTATAGCCTCAAGTTCTTGCTGCATCATGGTAGCATTTTAGTGTATTCAGATTAAACACATCTCAGGAGATAGTTTAAGTCTTATTATCTTTCACAGCTACCATTAATGTTGGCCTGGGGTATTAACCTGGGAGTAAATTTACACCCACTTAAAGTCTCCTTTACACTGCCAGCGTGGTATGAAGAGGACTTAATGTAAATTGGCCCATTGCAAAGATGGGCTGAAACCAAAACCCCAGATGCAAAAGGATTCCAAAATTTGGGGGAGTGCAGAAGTTGATCCAGATCCAACTTTGTAGCTCAGGCCCATTTCTAATACATAAAGGAATCTCTGGAGCTGGAATTATTCACCCTAAACCATGGAAGAGTGACAAAAATCCTTCACAAAGGGGAAGAACTAAATTTAGATCATAAAAGCAGAAAACTTTTCTAGTCTATGCTAAGCAACAGCTTCCCTAGCTGTCTTGCCAGGACATCCTCAAGTATATATTCAGCTCAAGGGGAGTGAATTTCAATTGCATATTAGATAAGGAAAGGGAAATCAGCCTTTGAAGCAACTGGCCTAGGGCAAAATGAAGGCTGTCCCAATACTGGGTAAATTGCTGGCATTCTGAGGCTGCTAGGCTAGCTACCAAGCAGCTTTCTCTCCTAAAAGGTTGAATAGACATGTGTCCCAGTTTTCTATGATACCTTATGTCACAAGGACCTATTTTACGTTGCAATATTAATCAGTGTTTCCAACACACAATGCAAACTCATATAAAGAGCTTCTTTATTCTACAGTATTGGTCCTCATCAACTCAATAGCAATATAAACAGCATTTGGGGTTATTAGTGTACTATATATATTATTAGTGTACTTTAGTGTACTTTATATATTAGTGTACTTTAGATTGGATATTAGGAAAAACTTTTTCACTAAGAGGGTGGTGAAACACTGGAATGCGTTACCTAGGGAGGTGGTAGAATCTCCTTCCTTAGAGGTTTTTAAGGTCAGGCTTGACAAAGCCCTGGCTGGGATGATTTAACTGGGAATTGGTCCTGCTTCGAGCAGGGGGTTGGACTAGATGACCTTCAGGGGTCCCTTCCAACCCTGATATTCTATGATTCTATATAAAAATAAATACCTTACCTCTGTTTAGGAGAAGGAGTGAGGCAGATCAGAATTAGAGAAGGACCCTGCACGGCCCTGGTTTCCTGAACCAAGCCTTCCCTTTCACTTTCAATTCAACAGTGCCAATGTCACTTGGCTTAGGGACTGGTGCTAACATAGGGTTAGCAGGTTACTAACAACCATCTGAATGTCTTTGAAAACCTGACTGCATGCTCAGCATGCTAAAGAACCAAAGCCATTTCTTGATGGAAAATAGCCACTTCAGTTCATCTTTCCTTCTGCTACTCCTAAGTTTCTCATTCAATGCACTTTTCCCTTCACCAGGTTATCATGGTCACTGGCGATCATCCAATCACAGCAAAAGCAATTGCCAAGAGTGTAGGCATCATTTCTGCCAACAGCGAGACCGTTGAAGATATTGCCAAGCGCCTCAATGTTCCAGTCGAGCAAGTCAATAAACAGTAAGGGCAGAAAGCAGCTATTTGGAAATGAAACCTTTCCTTCTCCTCCTATGTGTGTATTAACTTGTTTCTATGAAACAGTCACTTTTTGCTCTCCTGCTTCTTGGTACCTTCCTAGCCCTGATATCCATTCAACTATTCATCTCTTCGACCCAGAACCATCTATCTAGTTTATTCTGAAATGTACTGAGGCTGAATGGAGTTTTGATGATTCAGTGAGAGAAGAAGAAGATAACTCATTCTACCTCTTCCAGCCAATACAGCATTGCTTCCTACAGCACATTCTCTGTTCTTTTGAAAGGTCTACTGATGGGGCCTACTGCTACTTTCTTCACTAGGGAATTGTAGTATACCTTGCGTTTCTGTGGTGCCTTTCAAGTAATTCCTGCTGACAAACGACTAAGGCTAGTTAAAATTGACTTGCTTATTGCTGCCACATCCAACCCACTGAACTGAGTACAGTGTTTGAATGAATGTATTGTTTGCATCTAAGCCTTTATGTCTGAGTTTCACTGTGCATTCCTGTGGCTATTACAGGGATGCTAGAGCTGCTGTAATTAACGGAATGGAGCTTAAGGATATGACCACAGAGCAGCTGGACGAGATCTTAATCAATCATTCAGAAATAGTCTTTGCTCGCACCTCACCCCAGCAGAAACTGATTATAGTGGAGGGCTGCCAAAGGCAGGTGAGTGAGAGAAGGCAACAGATAAACATATGTGGCCACAATGGATTTGTACAGTGATGGTATTTGCTCAGATGTCCGCCTCAGCAACAAACAGAAATGATAACCTAGTGGTGTTAGAAACAGGTTGGGAGGGGGGATGGGGGGGGGGGGGAGTGAGTTCCAGTACACCACAGATACTGCTGAGGTTCTTTCATCCTCAGCCATCCGAATCTACATACTGTAGTGAACCCACTGTGCCTTTGGCACCCCTGTCCTACACTGGATAGAATCTAAGCTGCTCTACTGCATGTCAGGAGTCCCATGTTGGTACTGGCTAACTGACACTCTTCTGTGTTAGGGCCTGGTGCTTGAGGGGAAGTAGCAGAGCTGTAGCTACACTTTGGGTGTGAAGTTCTAGTTGTGATGGGCACCACAGTCACAATGCTGGAATTCCTGGGGCCAAGGATTTATTATTTAGGAGGCCCCTTCCCCAGATGGTTCTATAAACCCAGATGAAAGCAGCATTGTGACCATGCCCTCTTTTCCCTCCCCTTCAGTCTCACTTAGGCCTTCTGTACAGTTGTGTTTAACAATACAGGGCATGCGTCCCAATAAACTGCTTTATAACATGATTTGTCTCGGGCCAGCCCTTGTTAAACTGCCTCTTAAACGGTCTTATGGTTTAGATAGGAGACTAGTGCGGGGCAGGATTTTAAGAGTTTTGTCCCATTCACTGCAGTTATTATAAAGCTGTCTGGAGTAGAAGCAGCACCGTGGGGAGTATATAGTGCACCATGAAAAAGGAGAGTGGAGCACCATCCAGAACTCCTCCCAGGGACTTCTCACGGCTGTGCAATCCCCTGGTTTCCCCACCGATGCAAGCTGTGACTTACCCCATGGCTCCCCCTCAAATTTGCAAGGAAAGCAGATGCAGCATGACCCACTTTTAATTTTTGTAGCTTTGGCAGAGCTGAGCTTTCCCATCAACATCAGCTCTTTGGGTTTAATCCTGAATTGCTTTCAGGGAAACAATGATATTACTGCTTAATTTCTAGTGTCACCCCATTTTAGATGGCAAGCTCTGGGTACCTTTGTTCTGTGCTGTGCAGATGCCCACACTCCAGTAAGATTTGGCTCTCCGAAGGATGAAGAGCAAAAAAAGTCAGTTCCTGTTCCCTGTTTAGTAGCTCGAGCCCATAAGCCCTTCTGTTCACTGTATTATTTCTAACTGGTGTCACTGAGCAAAATCCCTCAAGGGACAAAACGTTTGGTATTTATCATAATCAGTTTGCCATATTTTTTCCTTTGATTTTTTCCGATTCTGCTCAGAACACTCCAAGTTCTCCAGAAGCCAAAGCATCTTTGAGAGGATACTTGGTTACATCAGGAAGTTTCATCAGAGAGGCTAGTCCAGAGAACTGGGGCCTTTTCTAGTTCACCAGTTCAAACCAGTTCAGGTTCACAAACTAAAAGCGAAGTTAGCATTTAGTGGCTGTTCAGTAGCCTTCATTAAAGTTGGAGTGGGGGTGGGGTGTGTCTCTCAGCTACTGAACACATATCTACATCACAAGCCACCCCAAAATTGACATCCTTCATAGATACCTCAGAAGAGAGACCAAGGAGTGGATGGACCATGGTGACTGAATCCCCCTCCCCCTCCTGAAGAGTGTCTCTGGTTTCTTCAGCGAGGGATGGGATACAGTCGCAAGGCACCGTAGAGGAAATATATGTGACCACTGCCTATATTCTACCTGGCTAGATGAAGAATTCGTCTTCAGGCCAGGGCTTCCCATCCAGCACCTTTCACCAGCACACATTCACTTTAAAAGAACATCTCAAGAGCACTGACATTAATTTTAACTTGTATTAAACTCTGCTCCAGAGACTTTAAAGGTGGAGGCTTTTCCTTGCTGGAGGATGGACTAATTTCCTCAGTCACCTGAATCCTACTGTGTTCCAGGATGCAGTTGTTGCGGTGACTGGAGATGGAGTCAATGACTCCCCAGCTCTGAAAAAGGCAGATATTGGAATTGCTATGGGTATCGCCGGCTCCGACGCAGCTAAAAATGCAGCTGACATGATCTTGCTGGATGATAACTTTGCTTCTATTGTCACAGGAGTGGAGGAAGGTAAAAATAAGACTCGCTACTCTCATCCCTAATGTAAACTGGAAGCAGTCGCATTGGACTTATAGCCACTATCCCCTGTCTTATTATTTTAAAGGCCCACTTGCTTGCACTATTGTTCACTTACATTTGCAGACACCATTACCTGGAATATGCACGAAAACTGGGTGACTGCATGTTCATATTGTTGCAAATGTAGGTATGCAATCACACATTTGTGCATATCAAAATCTCTATTTTTTAAATAAAGGCATCTCTTAGGGCTAAATGGTCAGTTTATTGACCTTAGTAACTACCTACCCAATTCTGCATGCATTGGTGATGTGTCCCTTAATATCCTACACAATCCAGTCTATATCTATGGACTTAATTTCCTCATTCAAACTCTATGGACCTAGCTGCAATGGGATCAGAAACGGGGTAGCTAACTGCTTTAAAGTCGGAGAAAGACGTGAATCATCTCCAACCACAAACATCCTAGGGTTTTATGACCTGCTCACAAAGAGCAAGGCAACGTTATACAGATATTATTTGCTCAGTTCTGCTATGCCTATCAGTTTGAATCTTGAACAAAAGCCCTTCATTTATGTCTGATCCCGTATTGCTTTCAGCCTCAAATTACTAGTGCTGCAGCAATCTCCTGTACCCTTTCGTTTCTATTTGTTCTCCACCCTCTCTTGGCTTGACCCCAGCTATACTACCATCCACTGTGCTTTCTAACTTGGTGCCTGAAGCTTCTAGTAACTTTAAAGCTGATCAGAAAATGGGAAATTCTTTTTTCCCAAGGAAACAAATCATTTTCGTTGAAATTTTTCATTTTCAATACATTTACAATGAGAATTTGACTTTTTGCCCAAAACAATTTAACTTTTTAAAAATGAAAACCAATTTTTTTGGAGGAAAGCAGAGATTTATTTCAAATGTTTTAACTTTAACTGCTGAAAAAAAGATGGTGGGAAATTTTCAGCCAGCATTAGGCTTAGTGAGTATTTTAAAATAAACTTTCTGTTTTTCCTCAGGCCGCTTGATCTTCGATAACCTAAAAAAAACTATTGCCTACACCCTGACCAAGAATATTGCTGAGCTCTGCCCCTTCCTGATCTACATTATTGCCAGCATCCCGCTGCCCATTGGCACAATCACTATCCTGTTCATCGACCTGGGCACAGACATCGTAAGTTGTCTTACCCCAGACATGGTTAAAACCAGCTGGCTGCCCGTGCAATTTCATGTGCATTTTATTGACCATGAGAATGAGTAACTGACTAGGGTTTGAGTGCCAAGGAGGCTCTTGAGCCTCTCTGGGTGTGAAGCAATTAGATTTGATGTACATCTTTGAGGGATCAGTCATCACTCAGGAACTGAGAGCCTAATCACATGCGATAGGTAAGACAGCAAAACAAGCAGAGGCCTAGAGTGAAAGCAACTGGATTTGGAGGAGGGAAAAAACTAAGATGAGGAGGGGAGCAAGGGAGAGTGGAAAGTAAAGGCTTCGCTCATGTGCATTGATCAAGAGCCCACTCTAGCCAGGCCTTTTGATCAACACATGCAGGCAGTGAACTATCAAGAGAGCACATATATTACCAGTGTCAGATCTTCCTCAAATCATCTGTTTGCTACAGTATAGGGAATGACCTCCGGACATACAGATGAGGCATCCTCTATCCTCCCAATACATTCAAAAGACCCCTTCTCTCCTTCCAGTTTCATCCAACCCTCTGGGGTGGATGAGCAATATGTTAATGGCCCCAAGGCATGTGTTTCAGACCTCACCCAAACCTTTCTATGGTCCTGAACTGCAGACTTAATTGAAAAGAACCTTTTGTCATTTACTCCTTGACATCTGGGGCACTCAATGTAAACATAATCCAACTAACAGACATTGGAGAAAGAAAAGCCAGAATTTATTGAATCTCCCAGAAGCAGGTAGAGGTTTGACAGTGAGGTTCTGAAAGACAATTTCTCTTGTAGATTCCCTCTGTTGCATTAGCCTATGAGAAAGCTGAAAGTGACATTATGAACAGGAGGCCCCGGCACAAGAAGAAGGACAGGCTGGTGAATGAGCAGCTCGCTGTGTACTCCTATTTGCAGATTGGTATGTTGGGTTATTCATATAAGAGGTGGCTAGGCTGGATGAGGAGAATGAAGTCAGTGAAAGGCTTTTGAATTTGGTTCCTGGCCCCAGGAAGGAGTGTAGAGTAGTGTTAGAGTGGGGGGAAGGGAGTCAGGACTCCTTAGTTCCATTCCTATGATCTCAACTCATTGTGAGAGTTTGGGGATGCTTATTTAACCTCCCTCTGACTGTGTGCACACCTGTTCTGGGGTTACAGAAATGCTTTATCCATAGGAGTTCGGAGGCTTAATGAAGAATGCACTGAGATTCTTGGTTGGAACGCTTCCTATATGGTCCATGCAAAGTACTATGGATCCAGAAAGAGCTAGTTTAACACCGACTCTCAGCAGACTTTTTTCTTGTTTCCCCTCCCTCCCCGCAAATACATTAAGTCTCACTCCATCCCTTTATTATTTCCCCCCCCTTCTTCTTTGCAGGGATCCTACAGTCGATTGGAGCCTTCTTGGCCTATTTTACCGTGTATGCTGAACAGGGCTGGCTTCCTAACACACTGCTCGGCTTACGTGTCAATTGGGAAGATGATTACAATAATGACATAGAGGACAGCTATGGGCAAGAATGGGTAAAGCATCTGTAAAAAATCCTCTTCAGTTAAATCCCTATTTTTTACTGGAAATGGAAGATTCTCTCCCCTCACGGGCAGAGTGAGGGGCGGGGAGGGGTGTGGTGGGGGTGGTGGAGGGAAGCTTAGAAATGTTTGGAGGTGGAGCTGATGGGGAAAGATTTAATTTCAGTGACTTAGATTCATTTTAACTTTATTCCATTAGATGTGAACTAAAGCTTCCCAGGTTAGATTTCTTGGAGCTGTTCTTTGGCTTTGGTCATTCAACATCAGAGCCCACTAACTCAACATCTAGAATTCCCCTCTTTTTGCTTCTCTCCTAGCCCTGAAACCAAACATCCTCCCCTATTTCTTTCTCAGTTATAGGTCTTTGTCAACAGGAGCCTCTCCACCACTCTTGCCTCCCTTTCTAGAGTATGTTTAGATCCCCTCTACTCCCCCAGTACTGCTTCTGCACACCACTACTGTCCAGCTGTGAAGATATTCTCTATAGTACAGGTTTCAGAGTAACAGCCGTGTTAGTCTGTATTCGCAAAAAGAAAAGGAGTACTTGTGGCACCTCAGAGACTAACCAATTTATTTGAGCATAAGCTTTTGTGAGCTACAGCTCATTTCATTGGATGCATACTGTGGAAAGTATAAAAAGATCTTTCTTTTTATACTTTCCACAGTATGCATCCAATGAAATGAGCTGTAGCTCACAAAAGCTTATGCTCAAATAAATTGGTTAGTCTCTGAGGTGCCACAAGTACTTCTTTTCTCTATAGTACAATACTGACTCTCCCCTTCCCAGCACTGTGATGCAATGTTGCTTAAATTCCATAACCTCTGGCTGACATTAAATGAGTGTTAAGTAGAACCGCAACCTCAAGATTTAATTCCAAAATCCAATACTGAAAATAGGTCCTAACAAATGCTGTTCCCTAGAGGAATTCCTGCTGCCCAAGACCATGATGGTTGAGGGGAGCTCCCATCCTTACACTGTTCCCTACAGCAATCACCATAAGCAGAGGCAGTAGGTGAACTGATTTGAATTCCCCACTGTCAAGGCTCTCAACATTCTCCACAGCAACAGCTAATGGGAAAGAACAATGGATCCCAAGCTGTTGCACAAGTGCAAAGAGGTGGAATTATTCCAGACTTATACCCATGTAACTGGGAATCAGTCTCTAGACTATGCAGCCATTCCTATAATGCAAGTACATACACTTCTGTGCCCGGCCTGTAACAAAGATACTTTTTTATTCCTTTGCAGACTAGATACCAGCGGACATACCTGCAGTGGAGTGGCTACACTGCCTTTTTTGTCAGCATCACAATTCAGCAAGTGGCAGATTTGATCATCAGGAAAACACGGAGGAATTCCCTTTTCCAGCAGGGTCTTCTCAGGTTGGTGCTAAAAGTTCATTAATGTAATGGGGGTAGGGAGGGTCTTAGCCTGGAGGTCTAACAGTCTTATCCAGCCTCTGTATGTTCCTTGGGTGAAACTGGAGTCAGAAATAACTTCCTCCATTCTTCCTTCTTGTTCCCACCAATTTCCTCTCTCTCCAGCTTTTTTCTATCACCCAAGCTTTTATTTAGCAATGAAAATAGGTACAAGAAAAACAGCTAATCAAAAGTTGTTCGAATACTGACATTTCAAAATTAAAATGTTTTAAAATGGGATTTTTGACATTTTCGCAGTTTCACGCAAATCCCCATCTCCTTTAAAAACAAAGCAGAACTAAAGAGCTAATCAAAATTTAGCAAAATTTCCAAAAAGGAGAAAATGGTGGTAAAGCTTTTTCATTACTTTTCAGCCAGCTCTTGTAGACTTTTGACTTCCAGGAGCTATCAAAAGGCCAAACTCTGTCAGGTGCTGAGCACCCTTCAAGCCCAATTGAAGCCAAATGATTGAGGGCATCACACAGTACTGAGGCCACAATATAAAAGCTAAGGAGTACCTGTGGCACCTTAGAGACTAACAAATCTATTTGAGCATAAAAAGGTGACATCTTGTCCATATGACCTTTATGCTCCAGGATGAATGGACTGTATTCAGTTTTACATTCAAAAGGGAAGACACTGTATCTAGCCAGCATGCCTGTCAGAACCGCTGTCCCTTCTGAAATGCTCATCATGGACTGCAGCACAGAGCCTGCACCTACTTAAGTCGGGCTTCTACTCAGATTTGTACCTTTGGGTTACATGGTGTCGTAGACACTAGTGCTATACAGATCACATAACCATCTTCTTTACTGGTTTTCTTGTAGGAATAAAGTAATCTGGGTGGGAATATTCTCCCAGATAGCAATCGCTCTGATTCTCTGTTATGGTCTTGGAAGTGTTACTGCCTTGAACTTCACGCCCCTTCGGTGAGTTCCAATTCTTCTGTGTACATTTGTGTTCTACCTCTTCTTCAAATGTACATATACACATGAAATGGTAGGAAATCTACACTCAGTGGCATGGCTGATTGGAAAGGCATACCATGTGGAGTAAACTTCTTAGAGAGCAGAATTCAAAGACTAAGTTTTAGGACATAATTACTGAGTTGAGCTGGCTGAAATTTCTCAGTCAAAAAAAACTCGGACACATTTTTCATGATCTTTTTCACAAAAACATGTCCCCTGTTTGGCCAGGGTAGAGAAAACAGTTTATATAGAATAAGAACGTCCCTAGCCCTTATTCTAGAACTCACGCTATTGGGTGAGGCCATAAAACGTTTGCTTGACTACATTTTATTTAAAATGACTTCCCTTTCATATGCCAGTCCAGTTTCTGATGTCCTCCGAGTCCAGGATATCACAAGAGAGCCTCATTTTGCAACCCCATTTTCGGAGCAAATAAGTTCTCCTCATTTACAGATTCAGAAAGGTCAAAGGGCCCGATTTTTTCTCTAGTGACAACATCAAATCAGCTGTTTGGACAGCAGGCCCGCAGAATTCAGCTGGAGGGACTGCTCCTTTCAAATGATAAGATCTGATTCATGAATCTCCTTTATTTCGCTTTTCCAGCGTTCAGTATTGGTTTGTGGCCATGCCTTATGCCATCTTGATATGGGTCTATGATGAAATCCGGAAGCTTTTCATCAGGCAATACCCAGGAAGTAAGTAGAACCTCCCCTCCCCCTAACCCCCCTCCCCCGCCCCCCGGGGCTAGCATTTCATTCTCAGTCCATTTCTGCCACCACCACCCTTCCCAACCCCAGCTGTATCATTTTGATAGAGATGATTTTAAATGGATTATCTAGACAATGCCTTACTTAATTTTCTTCTACTGGAAGAAAAAAAATCCTAATTCCTTGATATTTTCCCCTCCTCCTATCATAGGTTGGTGGGACAAGAACATGTATTACTGAAACAGGCTTCATCACTGTGCTCCTTTCTCCCTGCTGGAGAGTTCTTTGATTGTCCCAGCCGGCCTCTGCTGCTGAATGGTCCTGTCTGTGCAATATAAAATAACCACAGGGGTTCCCCTCATCATGAAGAAACAAGGACTTAAGAGGCTGAAAAACCACCTTACACTGTACTGTAAAGCTTAGACTTGGCTGAAAATTTAAATGCTATCTATTTTTATAAATACTTTTTTTCCCTGTTTAAAGTGTATAAAGTTAATGGAAAAAAACCTCTCATGTATATAGCTATTAAGGAAATCACACATTTGTAATTTCAGGCATCGACTTGCACTAGGTTTGTTCAAGCTGTTTTATTTGTTTGCTGTTTTGGTGCAATTGAACTGTGAGCAAGTGCATATGCAGATCTGAGTTATGTCACCAAGGATGACTAGACTGTATAGGCACAATTTGATAATAAAAGGACTTTTTCCAGAAAGCAGCTCTCTTCATTAATAATCTTCCAAAGGCACAGGTAGAAAATTGCAGTGGTGTTTGACGGCTTAGGGGATTGGGAGTAGGTTACAAGGCCCTTCAGTTATTGGACAGAGTCCAGCACAAGCTTAAGAGTGACTGAAGGCCATTACCATGAGATGGACTATGGAAAATAAATTCAGGCTCCCAGCTCCCACTGAAGCCTATGGAATTGATGGTGCTGTCACCTTGCAGTATTTGCTGCACATTTCACAGGATTGGTACCAAAAAGGAGAGCTTTGTGAAATAATTTGGGGCCAATCCTGCACAGCATGGCACAGGAATTGAATGATTAACATCTTTCTCCTTTACTCTCAACAGTTACAAGAGCTGCAAGTTTCAAATGTCTACTTTGGCTCTGATTAAATTAGGTATAACCTCTGAGTTTGTAAAGGTGTGATGTTAGTTTATGTAACTAACTTGATCTAATATACACCTAAACATCTCAGTTGTGATGCAGCATGATCAAGTTAAAGCTGAGTAGGGAACAGCATAGCATCTGCTGAAGTACAGTTTGCCTTGTTTGAAGGAGAGCTTCAGAAGGTGTATTATTAGAGCTAATATGCTCTAATAATACACCTTTAACTCCTAATCCTCTAGACAAAGCCTTAGGGAAAGAGGCAGGAAGAGCAAGGGTTAGGGAGACAGACAACAACTGGGAGAGGTATAGTGAAAAGAACTGTGAGGGGGAAGGAAAGTGAGATGCTTTTAGCCATAAGGACTGAATCTTTCAAGACACCCACACCTGTGCACCTGTCAAAAGTGACTGAACTGAACTCTGAACCCTCCCTCCCCAGACCTCTTCCCTGCATTCCATCTACTGTCAGGATAGCAATCACATGTAGCTATTGGACAAGATATCCTTGATCCTCATGCACTTACACAAGTAAAATGACAAAGCAGAATGAGGAACAGCAACGCAAACAAACAAATTGTGAGGGTGAGTCCAGATTCTAAGCATCCACCATCTCAAGCTGTTTGTCATACAGTCCACAGCCCAGCTGAGACCTCAGGAGCCAAAGCAAGGACAGCTAGCAGCAGAAACCAAATGCTGGGTGGAACAGAATTGAGGAGCAGTATTGAGGACAGAGGAGCAGCTGTCAACACCATTGTCCTTCCACAGATACAAGGACTGAAGTGTGCTGTTCTGCCAAACACACACATTATATACACATACCCACACACACTCTGTTGTGTTTGGGTGTATATAAACACCCTTCCCACAGTCATGGTCTTATATTAATTAGTCAAAATCACTTGCTGAAGTGGAGGCCAAACAAGATATAAGCATACATTCCCATACTAGATCAGGACAATGAATTCCTGGGATTTGTTGTTCTGCCTCCTGCACTGACTTACTTCAGAGGAAAGAGGCTTTTACTTAGATTGTAAACCTGGTAGGGGAATGTACAGCTGTGGTTGTACAGCTCCTAGCACAATAGGGTCCTTGTCCATGACTGAGGCTCCTACACACTACCACAGTGCAAATAATAAATCCAGCAATGTGTAAAATACTCATAACAATGCTACACTGCTTGAAATTTGAAGAATGAGGAGAAAAGGGTTGCATTTCATTATGAGCTCAAAGATGACCACAGTTTTGTAAAACATTTTGTTAAAGCACCAGGATTGTGTGTGTAAACACAGCCTATTTTCGCTTCAAAAAAGTAGACCATTTTCAGGCAAACTGGGTGCAATTTATAAACCAAAAACCAAGGGGAGAATGTACTCAGTTTGGGAATAAAAGAAAGTTCTTCATAGAAACCATCCAACAATTCACTTTCTTTTTTAACCCAGCTTTTCAATGAGAAAAGAGCCATTTTGTTTAAACTGTCAATAAAGTGAAATTAAGAGATGTGTGAACTTCCATAAGACAAAGTCTATGAATTTTGCACAGCTCTGCTAAAATCCAGGCAATATTAGACAAGCATTGTCTACCACACACAAACTCCCCAGTAGTATAAAATAACCTGAGGCACCCTTCTAACTGATTTGGGTTAGATTACAATGTGTGTAATGAGTTGACAATGCTAAATGGCAAAGACTGTTCTTACACAGAGTCCAAGAGATCATAAAAGCATTGAGAAATCAAAATGACAATCTGAAAAACAATCTCAGATCAAGAAGTCTGATGTCTCCTGGCTCCAAGAGACCCAGTCTGGGAGGAATTCTTATAAAGAGGTTATCTTGTTGTGCTTAAATTCTGCCTGCATCTTGGTGTTATAAACACTTCAGGTTAAGAGTGGAGAATGCGGTCTTGTAGAACAGGGGACTGGGAGCCATGACTCCTGGGTTCTATTCCTGTTTCTGCCCCAGCTTGGTACACTATTTATTATTTGTACTGTGGTAGTTCCTAGCAGGACCCCACTGTGCAAGGCATTGCACAAATACAGAATAAATGATGGCAATATCATTATATAGGATTTGTCGATAACATTGCATTCCACAATAATGAGCTGAAATCGTACATTGAAAGCATGCTGGCTAGGTAGAGCCTTTGCTCTCTATGCAGGACTGACTAAAGATCAAAAAGAAGTAATGCCAATTCTTTGCATTTTGTATAGTTCCCCACCAAGCCCATTTTTCTAAAACAAAAGTGCTTATGAAGAGAGCTGTTTTCCTTTCTAAAACTTTATTTTCAGGTGGTCAGAGGGACTGGGGGAATACGAAGAGCAGCACTTCCTCTGTTGAGGATGTATAACACAGCATCCCAGACATTACTTTTCAAAGCCAATCTAAAGTGCTCTCGTTAGAAGAGTTGTCTTCTCAGACAGAGCTGGGGGGATACAAGGAGGGTTTGAAGAAAAGGCAAGTCACACGGTGGATGGGGAGTGAAATATTTGTATTTTATTTACACGTGGGAGAGAGGAAGTCCCTATGTGATGGATGGGATTGCAGAATGTGGGCTGGAGGGATGACTCTGTACTAATAAAAAAATCTAACAGAGAAAACATACAAAATCACCAAGCTTGAGAGAAAGAACTGTCCAAATTTTCAAGGCCAAGATGCAGCAGAGAAGGGATCAGACCTGGAAGTGCATCCAGCTTTTAATTTGATTTCATTGGAGAGAATTTTTCCCCACATGTCACAAAGTGTTAGCTCTTGGCTTGGCAAAAGTTGCCTTTGCTGAATATAAACTAATTCCCCTTAAACACACAAACAAAAAGATTCTAAAGCAATATATTCACAAATCATCTAATGTCTCTTACAATCAGTTGAGGACATGGACTAGACATATGCCTTGGCAGAGTTAAACAGGGTTAGGTGGGAGGTTTATATACATACATGCACAAATCAAGGAGTGTCTTGAGGTGATATTTCAGAGTCAGTGAAACAAAATTAAAGCACTTAAATGTGGCTACCTCTTCCATCCCAAAGAAAACCTGCAAGGCCTTTTTGTGCCTTATTTATTAATGAGTCAATTAAATCAAATAAACTTGAGAGTGGGGGAGAGGATGTTTCAAGATATGAGCCTGCTTGTTCCAAGTGCTGAGCAGCAGAACTTCAACTGAGGTCAGTGGGAATTGTAGGTCCACAGCACCTCTGAAAAAATCAGACCCCATCTAATCTATGTGAGTGCTTACGTATCCCCCAAGACTGTAGCATCTGGCAAACAGAAGCTAAGGACACCATCCCTGCCCATCCTGGCTAATAGCCATTGGTGGACCTTGCATGCATGAATTTAATCTAGTTCTTCTTTGAACCTTGTTATAGTCTTGGCCTTTACAACATCTTCTGGCAAAGAGTTCCAACCTTGCTTTCGATCAGCCAAGTAAGAGGCTGATCGAAGACACACGCGGAGGAGAGTAGAAGTTACATCAGAAGGTAACTTCTTTACACAGTCAGTCATGGATCTTTCTACAGCTATGCTGCAAGGATGCCAAGAGTTAAGTTTCTAGCTCATAAACTAATGCCTTTTTAAAAAAATATGAAATTGTGCTTTCTTGCTTCAGCCTTGGCCAAACCAGTTGGGCCAGATGTCCTTACTGCTCACATTTGAACTACTTAACTTTCCATTGCCTTCTTTGTCCCCTTTTACACTATTTCTTTGCACAGTTTTCTCTGGTTTGAACTAGCTTTCACCACCCCTCCCCCAACACACACACCCTTCTCTTTTTGTGTGTCTTGTTGCTAGGGTATTCCTACCTGCTGGTCTAGAGACCACAAGATGAAACCTGAAAGTTGGCTTAAGGTGAAGTGTTTATCTGCATTCAAGTGAAGGGAATTCTGTAGCGGCAGCAAGCTTCACTTTATAAGGCGAATGACTCCTTACCACTATTTACACAGGCAAAGTGTGCGCTTTCTGAGGCTTGAGGTCTGGATCCTGGCACTACCAATGTCCTGCTGTGTGTGTGAGCCCATGCATACACACCCTGTTTCATCAGGAGATTGGGAGCATAATCCCCACTAAGCAGTAGGCTCGTGCATGATCCCTACTGCATTCAGACACTGGGAGTTTGTATTATCTTCTAAGCACTCAGATTTCAGAGGAGACAGAGGCATGGGCACTTCATCCTGGTATTAATCCATCTTAAATACTATATTATTATTAATAATATCTCGCTCTTATGTGGCTATAAGCACTTAAAGCTGTAGCTCTTATATACAGTAGGATAGATGCCGCTCTCAGATCCACACGTGCAACTCCTAATGGAATCAGCAGGAGACTCACATGCCTATATGAGGGCACTATTTGGACCCTTCGGTCAGCACCTCAAGCAGTATATAGTTCCCATCCTCAGAACCCAGTGGCTCAGAGTCTGAATCCTGAAAAGTTATAATTATGTTCCCGCACTCAGACGCTTTCAGTGCTCCCACTATGGGGCTGCTGCTATGCAAACAGTCTTTGGGTGATCTGACTATTTCAATCCATAGACTGATGAGCCAGCAGAGCACAGACACTACCATAAGAAACACTCACCAGCCTGCTTATCAGGATATTCTTGCTTCATCATAGAA